CAAGAAGATCTTCGTGTATCTTCAGACAAGGTTAAATTTTTAGAGAGTCCCCTTTCCCCTTTTACAGGCTTCTTATGATGCTTCCTTGTATGAGAAGGATGAATTAAGAGCTGAGGTTAAGCAATTGGAAAAAGACTATGAAGCCCTTGAAGATAAAGCCGTTGTTGATGTTAGTTGGGCTTTTTTGAACACTCGCCTGAAAACATTAATGGAAGTATGCCGGGAAGGTTTTGACTTAGATGTTGAGATTGCAAAGACTAGAAAGACGATTGAAAAGACCCAGCAGTGTCAAATCTTTTCTTCACGCGAGGTTGGTATTCCCGAAGGTGATGAAATTACTCTTGGTGAAGATATTGCTCAACCTTCTTCTGCTCAAGCTACTCTTCCTTCTGGTGATGATGTCACTCTCCATTCTTCCGGTTCAGATTTTGACCCACTGTGAAAGTTAAAAAGTTTTAAGTGTTGTTTTTTTTTATTGGTGGAACGTTTGGAGGTTTATCCCTGGTCCCATTTGGGGGCAATGTATTGGAAGATCTTACCCCTAGTCCGTTTTGGGGTTTTTTTTTTTGTATAAGACAATCAGGTTGGAACTAAGATCATACTTAGTTTTAACCAAGTTATTATAATATTATAAAGTTTTTGTCTAACTCTTATAATACCTTTATTTAGAGTTTTTGTTCTACTCTCTTAGTGGTTTGCCCTTGCCTTATCTTTATAAGTTTGGGCTTTATTTTCCACTTAATTTAATGTTTGGGTTTTTGTTTTACCCTTTGTTATTTTAACTTTTGCAAAAATGCTTCATTTCTTCGTGACTCTTTTGAACAAGCACGAATTATAAAAGAGGGCCCTTTTATTACGACAATTAATGAAGAAGACGTCTCAACTTCATAATGGTGTAAACATACGAAAGAAGAAATAGGGACACACACGTTTCTTTGAATAACTTTGAGGAAAGTTTTGTATCATTCGAACTTTCAAATCATATAATACTTCACATGTATTTATGTATATCTATAACTTTTTTGTAACTGTTTTTACAATAGATTTGTAAAAAATTCAAGGGTGTATCTTGCAACCCATGACTAAATTCAAAGGTATATCTTGCAACCCATGACTAAATATTGCCTTTAACCTAAACATTTGTATGATTTAGAAATTTACTTCCACGAGTGTATTCTTCACAGGTTTTTGAATCAGGCTTGTGTTTTTGGCTGCTCGTGACTTTGCTCTGAACTTTTGATTTGTTGGGTAGACTTTAAGCTTAACTTGAATTCTAATCTTTCCGGCCTTCTTTTCTTTCCTTATATATATATATATATATATATATATATGTAGTCCCCAAGTGTTTGAGCTTTGAAGTATGAAATCTTGAGCACATGATTATTCCTTCTGTGTGGTCCTTTTCCTGAAAAAGGAAAAACGTATGGGACTCAGAGGTATATATAATTTAGATAATGACTGCTTAACCCTGTATATTTTCATTAGAAAGGTTGTAACGCTATATTGGGAATTATGTTACTTCTGCGTATCTTTCAGGTCTAATATCATCATTTGGTGTGGGCTAGCTTTTTGCCTATCATCTAAAATTGTTAGTATAATTTTAACTGTAAAAAACAAAAATTGTAATTGAGCGATACCTAACCGTGGGTATTCTTGTGCTTAGAAATAGTACTTCGTCAGATGAACAGTACTACAACTCGAGGGTAAAACCTTGACAATCATGGTTTCTAACTCATAAGCACCTTTTCCAGTAATACCTCGAATCTTGTAAGGTCCTTCCCAATTTGGACTCAACTTTCCTGCATTGGCTGCTTTTGTTGATTGAAAAACATTCTTGAGTACGAAGTCCATTGAAGTACCTTAGATGAGCTTTCCGATTGTAATATCACTCAATAATTTGCTACTGTACAACCATCCTTATCAGGGCGGTTTCTCTCCTTTCTTCAAGCAAATCGAGATTTATTCGCATCTCCTCCTCATTTGTTCGGTTGCTTGATTGAATCTCGTACTTGGTTCACCTATTTCAATTGAAATTAAGGCTTCAGCACCGTACACAAGTGAAAATGGTGTCTCTCTCGTACTCGTTTTTGCTGTTGTTCGGTAAGCTCACAAGACTCCAAGCAGCACTTCTGGCCACTTACCTTTTGACTCCTTTAGCCTTTTTTCAAGTTGTTAATAATAACTTTGTTTGTCTGTTCAGCTTGTCCATTAGCCACGGGATGATAAGGTGTTGAAGTAATCCTTTTAATTTGCCAACTCTAAAAGAATTCTGTGATTTTTGCACCTATGAACTGCGGGCCGTTATCACACACAATTTCTTCTGGAACCCCAATCCGACATATGATGTTTCGCCAAATGAAGTCCCTGACTTCTTTTTCTTGCACCTGTTTGAAGGCACCTACTTCTACACACTTAGTAAAATAATCAGTGAGTACTAATAAATATTGTAGCTTTCCTTTGGCTTGTGGTAGTGGACCCACGATATCCATCCCCCACTTCATAAAAGGCAATGGTGCAATAATCGGATGTAATAGTTCTGCTGGTCGATGCATGTTGTTACCATATCTTTGGCATTTATCGCATTTGGCCACAAAGTTCTCTGCCTCTTCTTCCATTTTTGGCCAGTAATACCCTGCTCTAATTAGATTTTTTACCAAGGATCTTCCTCCAGCGTGATTTCCACAATGTCCTTCATGTACTTCTCTCATCACATACTCTATTTGAGAAGGTCCGAGACACCTTGCTAAAGGACCACCGAATATTTTTCGATATAAATTGCCTCGATCCAAACAATAACGGGCATCTTTTCGTCGAAGTGCCTGAGCCTTTTTCTTATCTTCAGCTAGAATTCCGTACTACAAAAAATTAACGAGCTCGTTTCTCCAATCACAGGTTAGATTATTGAAATTTACCTCGTTTTTATCTTGATCAAGTGCCGAATGAAACAAATGTATTACGAAAGCATTTTCTTCATTTGTTACTTTTGTAGCGGATGCATGATAGGTAACGCGTCTGCTTCGACATTTTCTTCCTTAGGTATCTACACGATTTTCCAAGTTCGGAATTGCCTGATCAAATCTCGTGCCTTTTCCAAATATTGTTGCATCCTCACCTCTCTAGCTATATAAGTCCCCTGCATTTTATTAACTACGAGCTACGAGTCACTTTTGATTGTAACCTGCTCTATTTCGAGCTGTCGTGCCAATTCTAAACCTGCAATCACAGCTGCATATTCTGCTTCATTATTAGTAATAGGATGGCATTTTATGGCTTGCCTTATAGTTTCTCAAGAAAAAAGGGATTAGAAGAATGCCTAAACCCGCTCCTTTAACATTCGAGGAGCCATCGGTAAACAGGGTCCAAGTAAGAAGTACCTGATTAGACCCGTTAAATCTACTTCTATCACCATCTCTTGGCTAAAGTCTGCCATGAAATCTGCTAAAACCTGTGATTTTATCGCAGTTCTAGGTTGATATGTGATGTCATATTAACTTAGTTCTATGGCCCACTAGGCTAACCTACCTGATAACTCTTGCTTATGCAATATATTTCGTAAGGGGTAGACGGTCACTACAGAGATAGGGTGACATTGAAAGTAAGGCCTTCATTTTCTAGAAGCCATTATTAGTGCTAAAGCAAGTTTTTCTAAATGAGGATAACGAGTTTCAACATCTAATAAGGACTTACTAACATAATGGATTGGAGATTGCATACCTTTATCTTCTCGAACTAACACTGCACTTACCGTCATTTCTGACACAGCGATATAGATAAGTAGCTTTTCACCGTCCTTTGGTTTAGCCAGCAACGGTGGGTTTGACAAGTATGTCTTTAAATTTTTTAGCGCTTGTTGGAATTCCTCAGTCCACTCAAATTGGCTTTGCTTTTTCAATACTCAAAAGAACTTAAAGCTTTTCTCCGAAGATTTAGAAATAAATCTTCCCAATGCTGATATCCTACCTGTCAACCTCTGTACATCTTTTTTGCTCGTGAGTATATCTGGTACTTCTTCAATAGCTTTAGTATGCGCTAGATTTACTTCAATTCCTCGGTTAGAAACAAGGAAACCTAAGAACTTATCTGATGACACGCCAAATGAACACTTTTTGAGATTTAGCTTCATATTGAATTTGCGGAGAATCTGAAATGTATCTGACAAATGTTGGATGTGATCCCCCGCTTGTGCTGACTTGACTAACATGTCATCAATATAGACTTCCATAGTTTTTCCCAGGTACTCCTGGAACATCTTCGTTACTAACCTCTGGTATGTGGCTCCAGCATTCATTAAACCGAAAGGCATGACTTTATAACAGTAAGTCCCCCTTTCTGTAATAAAGGAAGTTTTTCCCTCATCTAAAGAATCCATTTTTATCTGATTATATCCAGAATAAGCATCTAAAAAACATAACAATCCATGACCTACAGTAGCATCAATTAGTTGATCTATGGAGGTAAAGGAAAAGAATCTTTAGGGCAACCTTTATTTAAATCAGTATAGTCTACACAAACTCGCCACTTACCATTATTTTTGGGCACCATTACAGTATTAGCTAGCCAATTAGGATATTTTACCTCTCAGATAGACCCAATTTTTAAAAGCATTTGTACCTCATCCTGAATCACCTGGTTTTTGAAAGATCCTTGCTTCCTTTTCTTTTGTTTGACAGGTGGGTGTGTTGGATCTTCATTCAGCTTATGGGTCATTACCTCCGGGGGTATACCTATCATATATGAATGCGACCAAGAAAAGCAATCTGTGTTAGCTTTTAAGAATTCAATTAACTTACCTTTCAACTCTGGGCTCAGATTGGTTCCAATGTAAACTTTTATATCTGGCCAATGTATAAAAAGCACCACGGCTTCGAGTTCCTCGATTGTTGTTTTGATGTTTCATTTTCTTGTGGCTCTTGCATAGTATCTGGCCTTAAGTCTACATCCGTTTGTCCATCTTCAGTTGAGGTTTGAGTTGCTAAACCCTCAATCGAATTCTGTAATTGCTATTTTTCATCTGCAACGTCATTTTGTATACTTGAATCTGCCACTGAATTGATACTTCTAGAAGCTTGTTGATCTCCACGGATTTGCCTAATTCCCCATTGAGAAGGGAACTTAATAACCTGATGAAAAGTAGATGGAACAGCATTCATCTCATGAATCCAATGTCTGCCAAGGATCATATTGTACGCCATATCCATATCTATTACTTGAAATTTCGTATCTTTGATCACTCCTTCTATGAATGTGGTGACTATTATCTCCCCTTTTGTGACAACGCATGAATTATCAAATCCGGATAAGGTACGTTCTTTGGGTACCAATTTGTCATCAGCTTGCATCTCGTTTAAAAGAATGATATTTACAAGGCTACCTGGACCAATCAAAACTCGTTTCACATTAGTATCATATACAAGTAAAGATATTACCAGTGCATTATTATGTGGGATCAACACGCCATCTGCATCTACATCATCAAATGTTATACTATCTTATTCCAAGACTTGGCGAATTCGCTTCCCGTAGGTGATTGTGATTTTTGATACCTTTTTTGCAGCCGTATATGTCACACCATTGACCTCCTCTCCTCCACTTATGACATTAACCGTTCTTTTTGGTGATGGAGGTTTTGGGGGTTCCTGTCTATTCTTCATATATGCTTGCTTACCTTTCTCACTGAACAAATCGGTTAAGTAGCCTTGTTTTAATAAGTGCTCTACTTCACCTAGTAGCAATCTGCAATCTGTTGTTTTATGACCGTGATCATTATGAAACTTGCACCAGAAATATGGGTTTCTTCTGTTAGGGTTCGATCTCATTTCTTTTGGCCACCGCACCTTATCTCCCATGCTTCTTAAAATAGCCACAAATTCGGATGTGCTAACATTGGAACTGTTACCGCCAACCTTTGCTTTTGAACTTCTTTCATTGTCCCGCGTATCTTGTGTGTCTTGCTCCTTTCCAAACTTGGATGATGAACCCGAATCTCTATCCCTTGAGCTGGAATCGTACCTTGGGTTCTCCTATTTTGAAAGTAAATCCCTTCCTGCTGGTCCCATGTAAGGTTCGTACCTGTTCTTACCGGACCTTTTTTCAGTTTCTGGTCGCCTCGAGCTTACTCTTTCATCCCCTCCCCCTCCCCCCGTGACTGAATGATAGTATCTTTTTCTATCCGCAGCTTCGTGTTATAACTATTAAAAACATCATTCCAAGTTGTTGCAGGGAATTCTCGTAAGATTTCTTTGAGTCTCCTTGTGGCTTCTGAGCTTTTTTCATTCTTTCACGTTGGAATCTATCCACGAATTCCCTGAGTAGCTCCGTATCTCCTTGTTTTATTTTGAAGATGTCTTCCATCCTCTTTTCAACTTTTTGAGCTCCCGAGTGTGCTTTATAAATGAATCTGCAAGCTCAGTAATAGAATCAATAGAGTTTTCAGGTGAAAGAGAATACATGTTAGTGCTCCATTTGTGAGTGTTTCACCGAATCTTTTGACCAACACTGATTCAATCTATTGCTTAGTCAAATCGTTGCCGTTCACGCCAGTTATAAATACGGTTATATGATCTCGTGGATCGGTTGTCCCATCATACTTCGGGATATCGGGCATCTTAAACTTTTTTAGAATAGGCAAAGGAGCGGCACTTGGCTTCCAGGGTTGTTGAGAATATTTATCCATATCCACTCCTTTGATTATAGGTGCAACACCAGGTATTTGCTCTATGCGATCGTTCTACTCCTTGAGCTGTCACTGCAAAGCTAGTACTAAACTTTGTAAATCAGAATTAACTGGGATACCTAACCCTCCATCACGAGATTCACTAGGAGTTCCTCCGCTGCCCGAATTAGTGAGTGCCGAACGTGGATTCTCTATGGTTGCGGTGTTGTTTGGAGGCGGAGTTGGTGGTACAGTTGGTAATCCGCTAACGAAAGCTTGAAGAGCATTGTTCACATGTTCTGCAACTAATTGCTTCAATGCATTATCAACATTTTGATCGCCCCCTTGCTGATCATTCATATGTGGTGTTGATCTATCAGGTGAGTTGTCTCGGGAGTGTTGAGGAGAATTTCGAGGTGAAGGGACTGGGGTGGCATTCTGTTGGCCCAAGTTCAGATGAAGTTTTGAAGATTGACAAAATGAACTTAGTCATGAACCAGGTCCATCATGTGAGACAGACACAGTGTTGATATACTTATACACGTGACATACGTGTGAAGATAAGTCTCAAGGGTCAGCAACAATATCTTCTAAGTTGATCGAAAAGGTTGCATAGGATAAGGAGTTGAAGTCTCCTTATATGAAGAGAACTACATCCGGATAAAGAATAGGGATTGGAGTTTGAATTGTTCTAGGACTCGAATTTGATGAAAGGATCAGCAATTCGAGTTTTAATCAAACTCTGATTGCTAACTCTATAAATAACAATGATTGTGCTCTTTTACAGTGGAGCACACAAACGCAGAAGTGAAACTAAATTGAAGAGCAAAATAGCAAGGCTTTTTGCAAGCAATTTACGTGAGATTCAAGTGTGCAAACCTGAAGCTACTTGGACAAGATAGAAGAACCAATTCCATTGTGTCTTTCTTTTATTCTAGTTCAATTGTAGTAGGTGTTTTAAAATTGTACCTTTCAGCTTTCATAGAAGCAATTGTATTAGGTACTTTGAGTATTCTAGTTAGAGTTAACTTGAAAGTGTCGCAGCAGTTGAGGCTGTGTGCCACACTGGGATTAGAGTTAATCCTTAGGTTTACAAGAGTTTTGTAAATGTTGTTTTGGCTCAGTGATTTTAGTGGAAGTTTGGGAAAATCCTACTGAGTAGTAGGTCGTGGTTTTTTCACCTTTTGAGCCAGGTGTTTTCCACGTCAAAATCTCTGTGTTCTTTATTTTATGCACTCTTAATTCCGCAAGCAGTCTTAATAAGTACATCTAGAAGAACCAGGTTCTTCTAGTGCAAAAATTAGGTACCACACAAATCACCCCCCTCTTGTGTGGTATTGACGTCTAGAACATCACATTCTCTTGTTGATTCTGTTGGTTCAGCTGGTCTTGCTGGTTTTGTTGGTTTTGTAGTATTTTGTTGGTTGTTGTCGTTAGCGTTTTGACATTGATTTTTTTGACAGAAA